TGGAAGATCTAAACCAGAGAATTGTTTCCACTTTTCTTGGGAGTTAATTAAATTAAAGAAATGCCCAAAATAGTCCTCATACTGTAAATCCTAGCTTAAAACGAGAAAAACTAGTAAAAAAGGCAAAAACAGCGAAAAATTGTTTAAAAGAACGTTAAAAGTAACTGTTTAAGTCCGTTAGAATACGTTGTAACGGTCAGTAACAGACGAAAAATTTTGAAAATTCGAAAATTTGCAATGTTAATCTACGGGAAAATTTTAAGCACAGATAACTCCTTTAAAAACCAACAAATCCCTACCCCCTTCACAGAGCATTTAGATAATCACACCTTGCGACAAACCCCCCTAATGCCACCCTTGTCAGTTTCGTCCCCTACCCTCTAAACCCAATCAAGTATGCGAAATTTAACGCTAATTAACTCCCCCTTATTTAAGATAAATAAGCAATCGACATACCAAAATTAACAGGCTTGACAATATGTACAAGGTGGTAACTCAAAATCAAAAGTTTCGCACAAAAACCCAACTTTCTGGAGCTCAAACAGACCACTTACTTCTCTCCGATGTTAGTTATAACTATAGCGGAAAATTTTCTATGTGAAACTATAACGTTTAAAGCGTCAAAGTACAAGTCACTTGATAGCCCAAGATATTGCCAAAGATTGCAGCGCTACAGCATTAGCGAAAATTTAAATTTGCCGACTGAAATGCTTTCGGTTAATCGACGTTTCGGATAACCGGCTTTCGGACAAACGACGCTTTACTGTATATATTTAGATTATTTATCCACAGTTTTGAACCGTTCTAAATCCGAATTTGTTATTGCATATTGTTCTATTATAGAATGATTGTAAACATTCCAGAAAATTGGTAAAATTGAAAATAGTTTGATTGAATCTTAGCAATTGTTTTCACTCTCAGTGGTTGTCGTTATATAACCATTACTATTATTGTTGAAATACTGAATATAAACGGGGTTTGCTTGCAAAACTTTCGTGAGCGAAGTCACGGCATATGTACAGCTAGTGTCATTATATATTTCCACAGTAAAATTGGATAATTTATTGTTCAAAAAAGATTATTATTTATGTTTCTACATTTTCTATTTTAGAATCCAAAATACATGAAGATGGACGATAATCAAGAAAAGATCTTGGATGGGCAGTATTTTCACGTTTTCAAAGCTTTACATGAAAAACTGGGATTCAGGTAATAGTAAAATTTAGATGTATTTCATAGGTTAAAGTGGAAAACTGTGGAAACTAATCACCAAATTTTTATTAATATGGTACTATATAATGAATGAAAACAGCAAAGCATGTATATATGATATGTCGGAATAGTTAACAATTGAAAAGGGTGTAAGACATGGGTGTGTGTTATTTCTTCAAGCTTATGTACTGTTTTCATCTATGCATACATTTTATGATTCCGAGTGCCTGAGTGTGAAAACAGAATTGGGAATAAAGAAGTATGTCCTTTTAGTGCAAATGATAATGTGCTGTTATCAGAAAGTAAAGTAGAGCTTCAAACACTTGAGATAATTTTCTAGAGCAGTGGTCTTAATAGTGGAGTACGCATACCTTAGGAGGTACGAAAAGTGATACTTGAAAATATGCCAAATTGCTTTGTGTATCGAAATTTAAATTTGTAATTTAATTTAAATGTATGTACAGTCGACCCCTATAACGCAGTAGATACGTTCTGCTTTATAAGAATTTCGCGTTGTAGGAATTTTTAAATACATAAGCCAAACACAGCCCGACACGTGTGAAGTTTACGCACTACAGATGTTTGAAAGGTTTCCTTTAATAAAATTAATCAATTCTAGACTAATTTGACACAACATTTCCAAAACACGTATAACTTTTGGGAATAATCCGTATAAACTACGCTATAAACAAAAAATTGTAGGATTACTTACCGAGTGTGCACCGTTCGACCAAGCCATTGCTTACGCTTGTTTTCGTCGCGGAGCGGCGCACCAATCGGCCGCCGCGTTTTCTGATAAGATATTTTTCATGCGAACAATTCGTTGAACTTTGAAGACTTCATTAATAGAAATAATTTTTATTACAGTTGAATAAGAAATGCGTTTTTCACAAGAAATGTATAAAATTACAGTACTGTATTAGACATACAGTACATAATTTAAGCTTATATACTGTACAGACGATAGAAAACTCAACTTATCCGCCTAAACTGTAGCGTGTAAGTAGTTCGGCTGCTCGTCCACTATTGATCCAGATTCGACTAATCCTGTCACGACACGAGTCGATGATGACGCTTTACTGCATTTCACGAGTCCCTATATACGAATCCGCATTATATGAACCGACGTTATAGGAGGTTCTACTTATAGTGTTTTAAATTAATTAATGATGAATAATTTGATTTTTGATTACAAACTTACACACACACACGTATATATATATATATATATATATGATAAGTTTCTTTTTATTATGTATACTAGCTGCAAGGACCCGCTTCGATGGCTTTTTATTTGTTCGTACATTTGTATGTAATATAGTTTTTTTTATATATATAAAAGACTGTTTTTCTAAGTAATCTAGAATCTAGCTGCAAGGACCCGCTTCGCTGGGCAAAAAGTAACGATAGTGAAGATTA